AAAAAAAAAAAAAAAAAGAACAGTCAACGCGATCCGATGTTAAGATAACAGAAGTTAACAGAAGTTAATATATTTGACTCCAGCAGTTTGTCACCTGGATTGACAGGAATCAGCAACCATCTAGCTCATAACTGAAACCCCAGGCTCTAGAACAGAGGCTGACACACAGTAGGCGCCAGTTAATTACGCATGTACTAAGTACGCCTCCTAGGCCAGAGGGACGTCCTGGCTTCAGGGGTCTCTCGTAGTGACGCGCCTCACACAACGGACGAGTTCGCAGTGAGACCAAGCAAGGGTCTGGCTGGCCTACACCCAGTGCTCGGCGGGGCTGCCGAGCAGGGCACGGGACCCGGGGACCCGTTGAGCTTTCCCCAAGAGGCCCCCGGGCAAAGGTCAGCACAACTAACTTCAGGGGCAGCACCAAACCCAGGCAACAAAAGAGGGAACCCTACGTTCCCCTATATTCCCTTCACCCAGAAAGCGCGTAAACGATGAACTTACCAAGTGTCGGATCCCATTCCAGGTGTGATACATGAGAGGGAAGACAAGAGCGAACTTGGCTGTGTAGATCAGCGATGGCCCCAGACACAGGGACTTGACAAGTTCCAGATGGGACTCAAAGTTCCCAGGGAGCAAGAGGGCCGACAAACCAAACAGAGAGACCCCTGAGGAGAAAACCAAATAAGCCCGTTAGAGCTGCCCACCAGCTACGGCTAATAACACATAAAACTGGTTCTACAACAGCCCCTGGCACCTGTCGTACAATTCTCACCCATTCTGAAACGGCAAGATTTAAACTAATGCTCGCGTCTGTGGTGAGCGGGAGGCTGCCTGGCACCTGACCCTAATCTCTGAAATCTGCCACACACGTTAGCACATTATTCCTCCTGTCAACATCCCTCTCTACAAGAGCGACACCTGCCACTCCAGAAGTCACCTTCTGACTGCATCTAGATTATCATCTCAGGAAGGAAAAAATAAAAACAGGATATTCAGTCCTACGTCAAGACTGAGAAACATTTTTTAAGTCGTTCAAATCTCTACCACACACACACACAAAATGTAACTCAAAATGGATCAGAGAGCTAAATGGAAGAGCTAAAACAGTAAAACTCTCAGGAAATCACGGGAGTAAATATGACCCTAGATTAGGCGCTGGCTTCTTAATATGATGGCAAAACCATCGGTGACAAAAGAATAAATTGGGCTTTATCAAAATTAAAATTTTTTTTGCTGTGAACCATGTCACCAACAAAGTCAAGAGACGAATAAAAGGATAGCATAGGGAATAAAGTCAATGACACCGTAACGGCGACGCAGCCACATATAGTGATATGGTAGCTACACTTGCAGCGAGCACAGCATAATGTACAGAGAAGCTAAGTCAGTGTTTGTACGCCCGAAACACACAACACTGTGTGTCAACTACACTCAAAAGAAAAAGTAGGAGAACACAGAAGCTGTTTGTAAATCGTCTGTCTGATAAGGGACCTGTATCCAGAATACATCAAAGACTCTTACAGCTCGATAATAAAAAGACAACTCAGGGGCGCCTGGGTGGCTCAGTCGGTTAAGCGTCCGACTTCAGGTCACGAACTCACGGTACGTGAGTTCGAGCCCCGCGTCAGGCTCTGGGCTGATGGCTCAGAGCCTGGAGCCTGTTTCGGATTCTGTGTCTCCCTCTCTCTCTCTGACCTCCCCCGTTCATGCTCTGTCTCTCTCTGTCTCAAAAATAAATAAACGTTAAAAAAATTAAAAAAAAAAAAAAAAAAAAAAGACAACCCAATTTAAAAACAGGCAAAGGAGGGGCACCTGGCTGGCTCAGTCAGAGGAGCGTAAGACTCTTAATCTCGGGGTCAGGAGTTCGAGCCCCACACTGCTAACAGAGATTACTAAAAAAGATAAACTTAAAAAAATAGGCAAAGGATCTAAATAGTAAAGTTAAATAAATGGCTGGTAAGTACGTGAAAAGATGCTCAACACCATTAGCCATTAGGGAAACGCAAACCAAACCCATAATGAGCAGCCCCTGGGTGGCTCAGTCAGTTAAGTGTCCAACTTTGGCCCAGGTCATGATCTCACAGTTTGTGAGTTCAAGCCCCACACTGGGTTGTCTCTGTCAGCTCAGAGCCCACTTCAAATCCTCTGTCTCTGTCTGCCCCTCCCTCTCTCTCTATTACAGTTTTTAAAATCTTAAAAAAACATCACAGTGAGAAGCTACTTCACACCTACTAGGATGCTATATCTAAATATAAAATTACGTGCACCTTTACATAAAATATGCACATTTATATAAATATCAAAAGCGTTCAGTCTGTCTTTAGTAACATAAATATAAAAAGACAGATAATAACAAGTGTTGGCAAGGATGCAGACAAATTAGGATCTCAAACACTGCCGGTGGGAATGTGAAATGGTGTTACAGTCACTTTGGACAACAGTCTGGCGTTCCTCAAAATGATAACAGAATTAACACATGACCTAACAATTTCACTTCCAGGTATACACACAAAAGAAATGAAACAGAAGTCTACTCAAACACTTATACACAACAGCAGCATTACTCATGGTAGCCAAAAACTGGGAACAACCCAAATACCCATCAATCGACGAATGAGTAAATTAAGCACAGTCTAGCCGTATACGGACACATGCTACAACACGGAGGAAATTTGGAAATGTTATCCTAAGTGAAAGACACCTGTCACCAAGGACCCCGTATTGCAGAATCTGCTTATATGAAATGTTCCACACAGACAAGTCTACACACACCGAGTAGGTAAGTGCTTGCCTTGGGCTAGACGATTGGGAGGGAAATGGGGAGTGATAAATGATATGGGGTTTCCCTTTGTAATGATTGAAACGTTCTAAATCTTCACTGAGGAGGGCACTTGCACTGGGTGTTGTATGTAGCGATGAATCACGGCAATCTGCCCCCCACAACCAAGAGCACACTGTATACACTGTATGTTAGCCAACTTGACAATAAATTATATTTTAAAAAAATATGTTCTAAATCTTATCGTGGTGATTGTTACACAACTCTGGGAATATACTAAAAACTGAATTCTACACTTTAAATAAGTGAATTGCATGGTGTATGAATTATGTCTCAATAAAGCGGTCATAAGAAACAATCTCTACTCCAATAGCTGCTACCTAGTTCCCACCCCTACACATTTCCACCGGTAACTGTGGCTCATTACAGAGTGATTCTCAACAGCACGGTGAAAGGCTATTAACTTTATTTCAACAAGCATCTAATTTTCCATCTCCACTCAAGGTAGAAGAGGGACCAGAACTGTGGCAACTGAGCACCAGAAGGAATCTTGTGCAAGTCAGGCTATTGGGATGGCTATGCAAACTCTTTCCAAGAAGATCTGTTTTTCTTCGAGCGAGCAAACAAGGGAGAGGGGGCAGAGAGAGAGTGAGAATCTTAAGCAGGCTGCACGCTCAGCATGGAGCCCAGTGAGGGGTACGATCCCACAACCCAGGGATCGTGACCTGAGCCAAAATCAAGAGTGGACACTTAACTGACTGAGCCACCCAAGCGCCCCTCCAAGAAGATCCTGAAGAACGTGAAATATTTACAGCGGCAGGAGTTGGAAGACAGCGTGCAGGGAGTGTAACTTCTAGGCCATTCTACTCCACTCTTGTCAAGTGTGGCAAACACACACGCCTCCATTTCACAGACACTTACAAAAAGCATCCTTCGTACTAAATCTGTATGAAGCTTGCAGACAGAAAAATGAAGACCTGGTCTTTGCCCTTAGGAAGCTTAGTGTCCAGCTTTTTTTTTTTTTTTTTTTTTTTTTTTTTTTTTTTTTTTTTTTTTTTTACTTAGGGAAATCAATCCACAGGACCAAGTAAGGTGCTAAAGGGCACCAGCCCACAACCAAGGTATCTGTGTGCACAGGGTGCTAAGGAACTCAAAGACAACAATCAAGATCCATCTGGTGGGAGGAGCAGAGTACCCTGAAAAGCTTTTTCGTGGAGGTGCATTTAAGCTAAGTTCAAAAAATCTTTTGTTTAAGTTCATTCATTTATTTTTGAGGGAGGCAGAGACAGTGTGAGCAGGGGAGGGGCAGAGAGAGACAGAGAGAGGGGGACGGAATCCCAAGCAGATGCTGCACTGTCAGCACAGAGCCTGCCACAGGGTTCAACTCACGAAACCTGAAGATCATGACCTGAGCTGAAACTGAGTCAGGTGCTTAACCGACTGAGCCACCCGGGCGCCCCTGAGCTGAGTTTTGAGAAAAGAGATAAGGGGACAGCAAAGTGGGGAGTGGTGGGATACATCAAAGAGGGCCTTACATGCCAAACTACAGAGTTTAAACTTGATCCTGCCAGTCGAGGATGACAGATTTCAGGGGCGCCTGGGTGGCTCAGTCGGTTGAGCGTCTGACTTCGGCTCAGCTCATGATCTTGCGGTCCGTGAGTTCGAGCCCTGCGTCAGGCTCTGTGCTGACAGCTCAGAGCCCGGACCCTGCTTTGTCTGTGTCTCCCTCTCTCTCTGCCCCTCCCCTGCTCGCACTCAGTCCCCCTCTCTCTCTCTCTCTCTCTCTCTCTCTCTCTCAAAAATAAATAAAAACATTAAAAAAAAAAGGATGAGATTTCATCCTGGTACCAATCAAATGCAGTTCACCTCAGCGCCAATCCGTACCAATTAATAATGACTGTCTCAAGTGTTACAGTAAGACATGCAGACAGCCAACAGGCACACGAAGAGATGCACGCCAAGGGTCACCTGGGAAACGCAAATCAAAACCACAAGGACACATCACCTCACACCTGTCGGAATGGCTAGTATCAAAAAGAAAAGAAATACCAAACGTCAGCAAGGATGTGGAGAAAAGAGAATCCTTGCGCACTGGTGATGGGAATGTAAATCGGTGCAAACACTGTGGGAAACAGTATGGAGGTTCCGCAAAACATGACAAACAGAAATGACATATGATCCAGTAATTCCACTACTGGGTATTTACTCAAAGGAAACAAAAATCTAATTCAGGGCCACACGGCTGGCTCAATTGGAGGAGCATGTATCTCTTGACATCAGGGTCATGAGTTCAAGTCCCACATTGGGTGTAGAGATTACTAAAAAAATAAATAAATGAACTTAGGGCCCCTGGGTGGCTCAGTTGGTTAAGCGTCCGACTCAGCTCAGGTCACGATCTCACGTTTCATGAGTTCAAGCCTCGCTGTGCTGACAGCTCAGAGCCTGGAGCCTGCTTCGGATTCTGTGTCTTCCCCTCTCTCTCTCTCTCTCTCTCTCAAAAATAAATATAAAAAAAAAATTTTTTTAAATAAATGAACTTAAAAAAATTCACTAATTCAAAAAGATATATGTACCCCTATGTTTATGGCAACATTATTTACCAATGGCCAAGATATGGAAGCAACCCAAGTGTTCATTGGTAGGTGAATGGACAAAGAAGATGTGGTGTATGCACCCAGTGGAATACTACTCAGGCATAAAAAAGAACGAGACCTGGCTATCTGCTACAACATGGCTGGAGTGAGAGGGTATTATGCTAAGTGAAATAAGTTAGAAAAAGACAAATAGCATATGATTTCACTCATACGTGGAATCTAAAAAACCAAACAGACTCTTAAATACACAGAACAAATTAGTGGTTGCCAGAGAGGAGGTGGATGGGGGAAC